AACATTTATATATGTAACTTCTTTGACAATAGCGGATTTCTGTGACAGTTATATATTTGTGTTACATGTTGCACTCGTATGTAATATGTTATGTGTTTTGTGTTGATTTTCTTTACTAGTACTGCTTATGTATATGCTTGTTGTTTAATCTTCGATTACTTCAACTTGTGATTGTTGTGGAAACCAAATTGGAACAGGTTGGATATTTGAGGATCATACAGGTAGGTATAGTCATCTGGTATTGTAAATATTGATGTCCATTTTGGTACACATGTACTAGTAAGTTGGGTTTTCATTTCTTTGAACTTATTTTGATTTTCTGAAAGTTTTTGAGATTGCATATCACTTGATTTTTGTATATTTAGTTTATATTGTATTGATCCATCATGGCTATGGAGGGATCATTCTCGGAAAAGGATATGAAGGTGATTACAGCTACTCTTGTAGCTATGGGTTACAAATCCGAGGAAGGCAACTTAAATCTGAGGAACTACGGTCCTGGATTAAGTCAAAGGAAGGTTCTAAGGATGTCAAACAGGAAGATGGTGCTACTTTTGCTACCTCTACAGTTACTGTCAATCCACCTGTAAGGATTTTTCTTTAGAAAAGTAATGAGAGGCAATACTCAAAGTCTGGAGTTGCAAAACCATTCAAGCACCAAGGGGAACAAAAACATGTACAACAACCAGAGACATCAGAATCCCATAGTGATGGACCCCTGTGTTGGCGATGTGGCCAGAGAGGACATATTAAACTTGGATGTCGTGTACGACTTGACCATTTAAACGGGGACAAGCCTATGAAGAAGGGCGGTTCTTAGGCTTGGAGAGGAGAGCCCTAAACCATGCTATACAACCAGACAGGAAACATATACCTGGAGAGTTGGTTGGTTCCCCGAGTGAAACACCTGGAGAAGAAGGATTTTGATGAATTTGCTATGTGTCCCCTATCGGGCCCCGCCCCTCTGCTCCCAGGGGAACCTCACTCATTGTTAATACCAAATTGGGTCCCGTTTGCCCTAGGATGGTCAGACTTATTGGGATTATATTTTCAAAATATTATGACATAAACATATACATAAATATACATACAATGTACATGGGCGTCTAGAATCGCCTTTAAATAATGTACATACTGTTCAAAATATTCTATCAAGTATCAGTATTCGTCTTACATTTATATTAACAAATAAGTATAAATTCTCATTTTGATATAAAAAATAAACTTCCGGATATTCTTGTCCGTACTCTATTCTAATTAAAATTGTACTATAATCCAGTGTCTGATTTCCGGTTAGAGTCACGATGGTGAACAGACTTCGCACATCCGTTATTATATGGTAAATATTAAATATTAGTATATGGAATGCTTCGTATGGTACAACATCATCCAATTCAGCGAATTTAAGTGCCATGTTAGCGTTATAGTTCTAGAGTATGTGTTGATAATAGTCAGGGTATAATCTATTAAACAAAAACATTTTCCTTTCCGACCCCCCCCCCCCCCCCCCCCCAAAAAAAAGAAAAATACTCCATCAGGCTTCAATATGTCTAGGTGCTAGTTAATATACCTTGCAATAATTTGTAGTTCTGAATTAGTATACGTGTAGATTTTGTATCTCTTATAGAGTTTGTACAAAATTGGGTCCCTTTTGCCCAAGGATGGTCAGACTTATTAGGATGAAATCCTTTAATCCATTACGTAGAAGAAGGATTTTTAAGCTTTTACCTCTATTTTCCCTATTTGGCCCCGCCCCTGAACCCCCAGTCATCTTGACTACCGAATCGCCTAGATCCAATTATCCAGTGAGACATGTTGAAATTTCAGGTATGATTCTCGGAAGTTTTGAAGTATGAATAACGTCGTTTGAAGCAAACAAAGTGTTTGGTTAACCTAATGTCTAGTGAAACCTATATTTTGAGGATGATCAAGCTTGATAATAGTTATTGTGACACATCATTTCGATTTAACTCATATAAAAGTGCATCAAATATTGCGAAAATATGCGCAAATATTGCAATTTAAGATAAATGGGACTTTTGTTGCAGTATATTGTTGGATTTAAGGTTTGATAAAAGAAACTGCTTCTATCTAAACTTTGGACAAAAATACAGTCCTGGCATATATTCAAATAAAATTATTCATTGAACGTAATCCATTTTGCTGCAAAACCAAATTTTAAATTAGAAAACACTTCAGGCAGAACAAATCCTAACGGTTGCCTTTTGATGCGATGATTAAAAGATATTGCATCGAGATGTATTGTTTGTTGATGAAATAGACAAAAGTGCCAAGGGATTAGGGGAAAATTGCTTTTATATACAAAAAAAACAACCTGTATTGCTGGGTTTTTTCCAAACATTCTAGATTGCAATATCATGTCGTTTATTAAAAATACGCCTTTACTTTCGGTCAACACTAATGCTAAATTGAAGTTGCTTCTGCAATTTAACATTTATACATTATCGTTGACAATTCGATTGCGGCATGAATTATTGGATTTTGTTAAACGGATCATTCCGTCGAAGTAGAAAACAAGTACGCACACATTCCTACTCACCGAAAGGGTTCTTTTGGTTTTGATTTTGCAGCGTTAAGCATCTTAACCAAGGTCATTTAAGGAGGGAATTTCAAAGTAACAAAAACAGGTAAGAGCAGAAACCCTTGGCCGACAGCTGAACCATCCAATAAGAACATGAATGTATAAAGACAATTACTTTTTCCATATTTTATAGCTATTTTTTCGAAAGGCAAAGTCCGACTTCAATGCATTTACACATGTTATATGACTGCATTAACCTTTAACCAGCTAGATGTTTTTTAAACTAATATATCGGATCTCGAATCTCTTTTCGACCCAATCAATATCTCTTCAATTCTAACCACTTACTTTTCAAGTTGATTTTTGTTTGATTAATGTCGCTTTATTTGGCATGTTTTATCTACTTTCTATTTGTCCTCATGACCTCTTTTGTGTTCTTTGGCCGTTAAGACTCCAATAGTAATAACGAAATGTAAGCCAATTTTTTATTTTTTTTTATTTTTGCTGAATTTTAAAAACCAACTAGAATTTAGTTTTTGTGAACGGTACATATGTCTCCCCTTATTAGCCAATAAAAAAACTATAAAACTATAAAAAAAATAACAAATGGTCATATCGCTTTATATAGTGGGACACGAGACACGAATTTAGAATGCGACACTCCTACCTCCCAAGATACATTAAAACAGTATGTTTAAAAATTGGCATTAAATTTCGATAAGTTCTTTTTTTCTGAACGTCTATTTTTAGCCAAACTTCATTATTTTCCTATGGTGTGTGGTTTTGCGAATTGAACCCTGGAAGATAGCCGATAGTTGGTCATCTTTGATTTTTAGTAAATGTTTGTTAGAACTTTTTCTCACGTACTACAGGAGTTATCTTTTTCACCTGTTGGTTCCCTATGGTCCGTAGGAGTGAATATTGCATTTTAGGACTGATCATAAAACTAATATGGCCGATAGGTAGCAATCAATCTTGAATAGTGAGAAAGTTTGTTATAGTTATTTCTCAAAAAACGTTATTCATATGTAGGTTCTCTTTGGCCAATAGCTCTGCATGTTTTTTTGCACTAATCGCAAAAGCACGACGGCCGACATGAGGCCACATTGAATTCGGAAAGTTGAGTATTTAGCTCTTAACATATATTACAGATAATACTTGAGGGATCTTTCTCAAATTTTAAAAGGAGATTCCACATAGTCTTAATCATGCATATTGAATTTTGAGAAATATCTGAAAACCAAAAGGGCTTAAACTTTTAGAGTTACAGAGTATTAGCAATATTTGTCATAACGCACTGGAGAGATATTTTTCAAATTTCACATGTAGGTTTCTAAAGGTCATTAGTTGTGTATATTTGTTTTGGATTGATAGTTTACCCAAGATGGCAGAAAGGGGGCAATCTTGAATTCAAAGAACTAAAGCTGGTTCACGCTATTTCTCAGAAAGAACTTGAAAGAGATTCATCTTGCATTTCACATGTAGGTTTGTCATGGTACACGTACATCATTTTGCATGTTTCATTTTAAGACTGAGTGAAACAAGACGACCACCAGATAGCTATTTTGATATCCGACAGAAAAAGGTCCTTCATGCATGTTTCTTGCGGGTAATGAAAAATTGTCACCTAGCAGCCATCTTTGATTTCGACAGTTTGTGTTTGTTATCACTGTTTTCAAAGAAGTACATGGTTTTTCTCTTATTTCAAATTAAGCTTTCCTTTGTTATATGGCCTATGGTTTTATGGCTAGTCGGATATTTGGAGGAGTAGCATGAACAATAATATCAAACAAAGTGGCAAAACTCCCACAAAAAAATAGCCTGATCGAAATATTAGACACTGATGCACGACAACTTATTTGTCGGGAATATACAAGTATTTAAAGGTCAATGAAGTTGACAACTTTAAACGACCTCTTCTGTATGACCAATAGTAATATTTCAGGATATTTCACCAGCGTAGCTGAGTTTAGTCAATTGAAATATAGTCAATTAGTCCACTTCTAAAGAAATATAAGGGAGATTAATACCAAGGCAACCAAAGCTAATTTAGCCTCCTGTTTTAATTTTCGATCACAACTTGACTTGAGATGTTTTATTGACAATGCGTTATGTACCGTTTTTCATGTGATGCAAGACAAAATATTGATAGAAAACATAGCTATCCCACATCACTATTTTCTCTATATTTGTTGATATTAATGGGAGGAGTTTTTGTTGTTGTTTCATACAAACCTTGGTATGTCGTAGCTTGAGCAGGGGTCATTGAAACATGATGACATTATATCACCAACCAGTTATCTGTTTTAACCCACAATATTTTGACCTTGATATTGTTCTGATGCAGATCTCATCAGTGCCTCTTGACAATGGACTTTCTTTGCTGAATATTTAACATGTTATTTTTGAATTGGCATGACATTTTAAAAAGAAAACAAATGAAAACATCTTTGCTTTATAGTTGAATTTTATTAAGACAAAGCAATACAACAAAATTCAATAAAGACTTCGCTTATATGGAAGTTCAAATCAGCAAAGGATGAAAAACATAACACCTGTGGTGTTGATATTCATGCGTGGGTGAACATTGTCACGTCTGTTTTACGTAGAAATAACAATGATGATTTAGTGTCATGATTATTGTACGTCTGTGATTTACTTTTTAAAATGAAATACAGCTCGTCTCTGATAATAACGGCTGTATCGTAGTTAACAAGTTGTAAGTGGTACGACTAATAGAATGCCTTTATTTTATAATGTATAAGATTCCCTTATTAAATATGCCCGTTTTATCTCGATTAATCTTTAATTATCTCTTTCATTTTTGAAAATATTACAAAATGTCAAAGGGGCCATCAAACATGAACAAACCATCACAAATGATAAAACGTATGCAAATTTAGTCTGCTATATTATAAAGATTATGTGTACTGATGCATGGGATGCGAAATTAAGCTTCTTATTTTGTGTGTGGAGAGTATCGAAAATATATTCTGCATAACAGTTGATTTCCAATATATTGCTCTGAAACTGCTGTCCTCTTCTCAGGATTGTTTTTCTTGCAGTTTCGAACGTTAATATCATCCCTTTGATCTTTACTTCTCAGGTTTTGTAAAATAATTAACTCTCTAGTTAGCTTTGCATAATTATTCATTCTGTCAAAAGCATCTAGCCGTTTCGTTTCTACATTTCCTTAATCCAAATGTCGATTGTTGTATTAGGAGCTTAACCAACATTAATTTTATTTGTAGAGAGAAAAATATATATCATACAATCTTACAACTAGTAACTATAGTGAAATCCTAAACTAGGCTTTATTCAGAGGGTTTTCCTTAAATTCGATATAATGATTTTCGGCTGAATATTATAATAACCTAATCTCACATAATTTCGGCCTTCAACCAGTATATCTGCATTGCAATTTGTACTATGAAGTATACAGATAGCATATTTCGGCGCCCAGTCATAATACAGGCGAGTGTTACAGGGAGATTTGCGAGCGGTGCGAATTCCAGTCTGTCACAGAATGTAGCCCAGTCACGGAACAGTCCTGTGTGTCACGATCCATGTGTGATAGCGCGCCATTATTGTCCGTGCTTTCCTTGGTAAAGACGATTACAGGGACGTCCCCACGGGTAGGGGCGCAGCAGCAGCTACACACACGTTGGACGAAGGACTTCAACTTAATACAGCAAACACAACAGGATAGCACTTTTATGAACTCACTCCGAAAGTTATCATTTAACCAACCATATATCATGGGATTTGTGCAAGCCGAGCTCAATACCAGCATGTGACAAATTTTATATGCAAGATTTATATTTAACTGTTTGAATTGACTGAATTGAAATTCTGTAAGAATATTAAACAAATTCAACGGAAGCCAGCTCAGAGCAAATACCACAGCGATAAGAGACAGAGTTACATTAGTTTTACGCTTTCGCCTCGATTGCCGCTCGTTTTTTCGTTTCTGAAAACTCGTTCCAGCATTGCCTTGATTAACCATCCGGTATTTTAATTTATTACATATTCGCGCATGCGCTATTATAACGATGGCTATTGGCAGAATGTATTGAACAATCATAGATGCTACAGAGTAGGCGCCCTTTTCTTCCATTAATGTAATATCCTCGACACATCTGTAAAAATAAACCTCGACCCATATAACAGGCTTTTCTACCCTATACACAGAAAAGATTAATAAAGGACTGGACATAAAAAACGATATAATCCAAATTGAACAAAGGGCAGAAGCCGCGCCAAGTTTTTTCATGCTATCTTTTGTCGGGTATACAATCACTTGAAAACGGTCCAATGCGATCGCGGTGATACTGATCGTTGAGACAAACACATTTGTCCCCTGGCACATACCGACGAATTTACACATAAATCCGCCTAGTAGCCATTGCCCGTTGCTAAGCAGACGATACAGATTAAGAGGCTGAGTGAACAGGCACAGAGTAAGATCTGATATAGCCAGATTGATAATGAATATATTCCTCGGCGTCCGCATATGAGGGTTCCTTACAACAACATAGCACACCAGACCATTGCCGACAGCGCCGAAAATGATAAGAATAGCAAAACACGTGATGAAGATGATGTCTGCGTAAGCTGTGACGTAGATTCCGCTCTGATCCTGAAGGATCTCCCAAATCAACTTGCGATCCATCTTTGTCATATTGTGGTCGAACATCTCCGAACCATTGTCGGGGAGGACTCTGTAAGTTGAGTTTTCCTGCGACAATAGGGGCAGTTGCTCCTTGTCCAAAATGGTAGACTCCATTATCGTATCGTAAAGACCTGCAAAATATAATGAACTGCTATTTACATGAATAAAGCAACGAAGACAAAGTGCTACATCATGGTAGATAACAAAGATAACAATACTTCCTATAATCTATAGTCTACTACCTAATGGGCATCAAGTAGAATAGACAGATTCGAGGCCAGTATTATGGTGTTCTTGAAATGAAAACATTGTTCCGCACAATTTTGTCAAAATAATCGGGTGTCTACGTGAAATTGGATAATACCATAGAAGTTATAAAATGTCCATATTTATAATAAAATCTTGCGATTTCTCTGTGTCCTAACATGTTCAGTGTTAAACCTTTTACTATTCAATTTATTTTGGGTGTATTGAGTTTTGTTATTGTCACTTATACCTGTTGACAGTCCCGATATAACACTGTTGCTGGACCGTTAAGCAATAAACTACCCTACTAAATAACCAGTAGAATACCAATTAGAAAAATTAGCATTTCAAACGTGTTCAACACTTATTAGAATAACTTTTGCTGGTTGATGACTCCATAAACATTTTATCGGAGAATAGCTGTATTCAGATGAATTTCGACATATTTAACTCAACAAACAATCATGTTCATTGACATATAATCGGTGGCTTAATGAGTTGCATATAAAATATTATTGTCGACACGCACTCGGCACCAAAAAACATGTGATCTGCCATATCCGTTAAGATGACACAATTAGTATTGGACTATATACAATACTGTCTGTTTTATTACATGCTCTTCGTCAAATTCCGTCGCCTGCTACGTATTTACATTTACAGTAAATTGATTTTCCTGCAGGCAAAATATTTACTTCATCTATAATTCGTTTCCTATTCGTATGATATCATCATAAAATGTATTCATAATAAACGGAAGGTAAACACGGTTGTTATAGTACAGGTAAATGATAAATTATGACTTTATGTCCGCGGAATATGTTCGGGTGGAGTGTTATGATATATGTACATAACATCTGAGTACGATGGTACTTTACAGTTGCCCCACTATCTGTAGACAGTATCTTCACCCGAGCTGAGCTGTTTCGAAAAAGTTAAACCCAATCAACGTTTTCATAATACTTATAATTAAGGCGTTTTACACACCAGTCCCTCTGTTCAAAGGTAGCTTAGACTATTTTGATTTTTTTCTGATGGTCCCAAACTCCAGGAGAGATGAAGCAACTAAGATGCAGTGTAATTGATTTTGGCTTACTGTATCTGTTGCCAAATTATTGAGATGCGACCACATGTGTGTGTGTGTGTGTGTGTAGGTGTGTGTGTGTGTGTGTGTGTGTTACGTTCATCTATCATACCAAATCAAAAGAATAATGTAAAATCAACAGCAGCAGATCCAAGCTATTGCAAGGAGGCAAGTACGCCAATATACCGCATAAAGAACACACAAAAAAGTGTTCCACTACAAGACTTATTGGAAATTCGGTTTTAATCATTTCGCGAAGTTCTCAAATCTAAAAGTATTTAGTGCATCACGGGAGATTCGATGTGCATAATAATGGCTAATCACATCCAAGATAGATTAAGGCAATCATATTTAATCAAGTGTGAATATTGACATTTCCAAATAATAGAATTAGATGGTTATATAACATAGCGGTGTCAATATCAATAGAAACGTTCTTAATCGGTATTCTTGGGGTGATTTCTGTTTGTTTTGGTTTAGTATTGTTTAACGTCAACAGATATGGTCATTTAAGGACGGCCTCCCCTGTTAGTAAGGTGCTTGCATGTAGTGTATGTGTGTTTTGGGAGGCTGCGATATGTTCGTGTTTGTCTCCTTGGGAATGCGTGGAACTGATGCCGTCTTTATAGTGCTACCTAACTGAAACATACTGCCGAAGACACCCAGCAGGACACTTCATCCGGTTACATTATACTGACAACGGGCGAACCAGTCGTCCCACTCAACAATTGCTGAGCTTTAAGCAAGAGTATAAACTACCATTTTTTACAGGCTCTGGTATGTCAAGGCCAGGGAACAGAACCCAAAGCCTTCTTCACAATCGCGAACGCTCAACTAAATGCTAAAAGTGAGCATTGCCAAGGGAGACAAGGAAGAAGAAAGTTGTTTTAGATGAGATCCTATATTTAGTCGCCTTTTACGATCATGCAATGGGGGCAGCAGGTTCCAGTCTTACGCCCTATGATTTGTGTAGTTCAGCTATAAATGACCAAATACAATGTACATCTGGCAATGAAGTAGTCCTAAATAACTGACTCTTCTTTTTATTGTTTGAGAAGGACGATGATAGTTAAGACTTAAGACGTCCTCCATACGGTCTCGTTGAAAAATCTGCGCATCGGGATTGGTATGCACTTTAAAAACTGTTTTCCGGTTAACCAGAGCATGTTCACATTCTTTCCAAGATTTTGTAATGATCTTCCGAGTCAGATACTTGCAGTAGTACAATGTAGACCTACCCTTGTATGTTCAGAGGCCAGTAAAGGACGGCAGCATTCAATGACATGCCGTGAAAGGCAACTTATTCAAACGCCCTGAAGGATTTTTTTTATAGATATTGCTTAATGACATTGAAAAAACCCAAATAGTTATGTTCCCCCATATTCAAGTAAAGAAGACAAAACCTTATTGCCACTCATGTGACCAACCTTTTAAAGTTAAACAAGTTATGATTTCAAACAAAACCATGACAGATTTTATAATGTTCCGTCTATGCTAAGTGTGTTGGTTGTAAAGCGTTTTACATCCTAACTTTTAATTACAATAAAATTGACATCTTCTACAACCAATTCGTTCGCTATTCATGTTATCATTTACATTGTCATATTTTACCTTTATTCATGCATTATAGCAGGTAATGAAAAGGCATATAATGCTGCGTAAGCAGTACTGTTGCCACCATCTGTTGATTTAAACTTTAATGTTTCTGATTTAAACCACTTGGTTTTAAGATCACAGAAGCAACATAATTGGAATCAATACGTAGATAACAAATCACATTAACCTGTTATCGGTGAATAGCATACTACTATGTAGCTACAGAGAGAGGCTCCGAGACGAGGTTGTCCATGCCCGTTTCCGGATGGGTCAACTCATTGTTATTTATTGAAACGTGAAGACTAGTCTCAATGCATAGCGTATTAGGAACCATTTACATTAAAACAATTGTTATAAGATTGTGTTGACCTTCAGTCAACTCGAGACATTTTCTATAATAAAATTACATCCGTAAATCTTATGTATTCATGTGATACAGCGTTTCGGCCTGCACCATCTTCGATGCGAGTTGCTGTAGTAACGTGCAGTAACGTATACCAAGTGAGGTAAGTAAATTCGTTGTATATACTTGAAGTGGTTTTTTTTATGAATTATCAACATGTCGATTTATAACAAATTTAAATGCTCAAATATTGATCGCATTCGTTTTGGTAGTTATTTGTGTAAGTTTGTCCCCCAGGTATCAAAATGTCAATAGTTTTCCTCTACTTGTTTTCGACGATTTTTACAAAAAACAATATAGTAAATTGCATAAGACACGATGAAAGTCCATATCTAAATTTATAATATTGTCATTGCGTCTTTTACCAATAACGTGTTTGTTGGGATGCTGATGATTCTGTTTGACCTTACTCGTTACTAGGTTGAAAACGGTCCCTGCAGGTAGGGTGTAAGAATTGTGCCTGCTGCCCCCATTGCATGAAAGTAAAAGGCGACGACTAAATTTGGGATCTTTTCTTTTTTCTTCTTTCTTAACAACTTCTTCCTTATGTCTCCCTTGACACTGCCTCAATTTTGGCCTTAAGTTGAGCGTTCGCCCCTGTGAGGAAGGCTTTGGGTTCTGTCTCCTGGCCGAGACACACCGGAGTCTCTAAAAATGGTAGTTTCTCAGTTCCTCATCAATTTCGGAGTGGGACAACTGGTTCGCCCGTCGTTAGTAACATGTGAATGGGTGAGGTGTCCTGCCGTGTGTCTTCGGCAGTATGTTTCAGTGAGGTAGCACTATAAAATCGACATCAGTTTCGCGCAATCTCAAGAGGACAAACACAAACATACCGCAGCCTTCAAAAACTTAGGCATTCACTACACGCATGCATCTCGCACTGAGGGGAGGCCATCCTTAAAAGACCATAGCTGTTGATAGGACGTTAAACGTTACAAACCAAACAAACCAAAATGGGTTGAAAACGTATGATCCTTTGTTGGGCTTTGTACCTCTGCTTGATGAGTTTACATCGTTTCCCGTGTTCTCACATAGCATAGCTAATTAGGAGTGGAACGACTGGTTCGCCCGTTGTCAGTATAATGTGACCGGGTGGGGCGTCCTGCTGGGTGTCTTCGGCAGTATGTTTCAGTGAGGTAGCACTATAAAGTCGGCATCAGTTCCTCGCTATTACAAGGAGACAAACACGAACATATCGCAGCCTCCCAAAATACACAAACATACACTACACGCATGCATCTTGCACACAGGCGAGGCCGTCCTTAAATGACCTTAGCTGTTAATAGGACGTTAAACAAAATCAAACAAACAAACAAAAAGCATAGCTGTTTTGTTCTATCACCATTGCACATGAAACACTGTTTATAATTCACCGGTAGAAGGAAGTCTGAAAAATGTACTGTGAAAACAATGTGACAGGATTTTTCAGAGTATTTATGATTGGTACAGAAATGAATAAGATAAAACGTAGGGAAATGCATTAGTGAATAAAATGTCAATAATTTGTGCCCCAACTGACACTGATAGGCCGTCGTGCTGGTATTTGATCAATGCTAACCGTGAAATGACTTCTCGTATACATATGAAGACATTTATAACGTATATGAAATGATACATATATGTTCAATTAACTTACTCAGACAATCGTTATTCTGGGAAATATATCGTTACAGTCGGATACACTGCCTACTGTATATTTACTATCACAAATGATATAATCATCATGACGTTTACATCTTTTTATTTATTCATTTAATCCCCAGATTGAAGGATTCTGTCTACCTACAATCTCATTCTAATAT